TCATGACGGCAGAATTGAGGAAAATAATGCAGGAAGCTAGTTTATCTCAAAAATACAGTATTATACCCTGCAACGCCAAAGCTCCTTGCTGTCTGCTGCGGCCTTATCTGGAAACAGCCTAGCAGTTGTAGGAATTTTCTTCTCATGCTGGAGGATTACACAGAGTTCAGGAGAGTTTGTCTCAGGACATCTGCAGGGCAGCTTCCCGGCCCAGGAGAAGCTATGCTCAGCGTGACCCAGGGATGCACAGGGCCAGGGCAACGCCGTCAGCGTTCCCCTATGGCCTCTCTGGCCATTGTCCACACTGAAAGTCCCACTGCTCCATGGGCAAAGTAGGGTGAGCCCAGCAGACAAAACTGTATAAGCAAGCGAGCAGCAAGGCAGCTTTTGGGTTGAAGTGGTAGGTGAGACCAGCAGGCACAGGATTTCTGGTAATGAAGGCAGGTATAGGTTTGGTCAGTCTTTTATGACAATTTCTCTTTTAACACAGGGCCTGTGATTTCTCCTGCCGGACGTGCGCTGTAGGTGCCCATGTCTGTGCTCTTCACCCTGGGGTCCCTTTTAGAGCTGAAAGAGAGAAATAGAAGTAGCTTCTTCCTGACTCGGTGCCTCCTGAGGTGGGCAGCAAAGGCATCTGGACGTGCATCTCCAGCAACTCTGAACAGAGCCTGGGGTCCTGGCTCAAACATAAAAAGTTGCTTGTACATACCTAAAGGACTCCGCACTCTGCCAGGTTATTAGAGCCACATGCACGCACATTCATCTCACAGGGAACTACCAAAGCATCTTGAGGACCTCCTCCAGCTGGATATCTTGGAGGTACATGGAAAATATGCACGCTATAAATAAAGTCGCTTGCTGTTAACTGTGCCTTTATTTAAGATAGGCCAGGGTCTCTCACTCAATAGGTGTACGGCCCAGGAGATCTTTGAAAACTTTGCAGCGAGTCTAAGGGATGATGGGCAGCAGTGCACGCTCTGTGTGAGTGGGGAGAGGGAGCCCACAGGGGACTGTGACCAACAGGGGCTGGTTGTGCACACACCGTGACAGCCCTGCTTGGCTCCGCTTGCTGGAAAACCCACTCCAGTGTCACAGTGCCTGGGCACAGGGCTTGCCATAAGCAGTTGTAGGCATTTGTAGTGATGCTGCGCCTAGCAAATTGCCCACATTAACAAACACCAGGGATTTAGTCCCAGAGATGAACCCAACAAAGAGAAGAGTCTGCAGCCTCCAGGCATCTGGTAACACTCCCTCTTCACCCTAGATGAGCTAGAGCTAGGTGTGCAGCAGGACTGGCTCACCGAAGCCTGGATAAACTGAGGCAGAAAGTGTATTTTATCCTGGAAATTAGATAGTTTGGCTGCTGACCCCAGCAGTCAAAGCCAGAGGAGGCTGGTGGTCTCCCTGCTGGAGCGGGGCACTTCCCCAGCAGCTCTTCCACCACCACTGCACACTTGTCCCAGGAGGAGATACCCAATGCTGTCTCCCCACCAACTCGGCGGCAGTCGACTTGCTCCAGTGCAAGTAGAGGACTCCGTCCGTGTCCTGCCCAGGGCAAGTAGACCTGCAAGAGTCTGTCCTGTAAAACCTCAAGGAACTGACACCAGCTCCCCATCTGTCCCGTAGCTTTGAGAGACTTGGGGTGAGGCCTCACACAAGGGTCCATGGTGCTGAGTTGGGCTCCAAAGGATGCTGAATGCTTACAGACTACCCTCCGGGTAGGGTGGGTTTTGTCTTTCTTAAAAAATAACATTTTTGTTAGCACATGAGATTGTTAAAATATTCATAGGCAGTCAGGCATGCCTGGAGCACCACAGGACACTAGCTCTGTTTTTGCCAAAGAGTATCCATGAAACATCAGGATACTCATTGGGTACAATGTACCCTTGTGGGCAAAACTGAAACTACTGGACAGCAGGAGCGACTGTGTCCAAAATGTTCTGTCAAAATATTTAAAGTTGGAGGTTGTTTTTTTCTGGAGTGATCTCGTCCCCCAACTGTTTTGGGATTACAGTCTAGGTTATATGACAGTCCTGTCTTGCTTCCCATAACTATTTATCTACCATCACTCACTGACAACACTCTTCATCAAATGTTTCCTGGTACAACTTCACAAGCTGTGTTATGGCACCAAGGAAAAATCAGTTTTCCTGATAAGCAGTTGCAAACCTGGGGATACAATTAATTGTGAGGCGGTTTATTGTACGGTATATAGTCCTCCTTGCACACAAAACATACCACATTTCCCCTAACGCTCCTCAGACTTCACTGAAGATGCCAAGTCCAAGAAAGCCATCTAACCCGTCTGCTACCCCCA